TTTTTTTTTTTTTTTTTTTTTTTTTTTTTTTTTTTTTTTTTTTTTTTTTTTTTTTTGTATTATTGTTATTTTATTTCTCCTTTTATTTATTTATTTATGTTTTTTTTTTTCATTTTGACAATTTCAATTGATGTCATTTGTGTGTCTAATTATAAATATTTATTTAGAATCTAAATCAATTTTTTATATATATTATTTTTTTATATAGTATTTGACTCCTGTTGCCAGTGTGCAGTGATTACTATGTGAGACTGTGTGGGAATGGTACGTTGTTCGCTGCTTGCCTGTCACGCTTTCAATGCCAAGCGCAGCAGAAATTGCCAGCTAAACAGGCCTTCGACGACGCGACGTTCGTTGCTTGCTGCTGTCGTCTCGGTAAGCTTCGTGTAGCCGATTGCTTTTGCGGCGAATCTTAAATAATTTCATTTACGGCGAAATTGGATGTGCATTTGTGTGCGTGTGTGTATGCCTCGCTGAGTCAGTTAGAGCACAGCCAGTGCGAAAAGCGACCCAAAGCTCGGTTCAAGTTCAAGGATGTTATGCAATAAACCGCATGCAAGAGCGTAGAAGCTGAAGAGCATGAGGCATCCATATATGTATATACAGGCATTCACATGCACATGTGTGTACGTATGTACATACATACATGTATAAGTATATGGAGGCGGGTGCATATAAAGGAAGCTGCTGCCGCTGCGGCTGCTCGAACGCTTTCAATTCGCCGCTGATCTCACACACACAGCGTCGTTGCTGCTGCTGCTGCTGCTGTTAGCTTGTGCAGTCTACCCTGACCGCGCCTTAGTTACTGTTATACACAAATGTATGTATGTATTTATACATACGTGTGTGCATGCACATGTACTAGGTATTGTATATATGTATGTATGTAAGTATAATATGTGCTCAGTGCGCGCCCAGCCCAGGCCTGGGCTAACCGGGTTGCAACTAGTATATAATTAGCGCATTTACTGACTAACTGCAACAGCAACAACAATTAGCAGAGACACACATACATACATATGTATGTATGTATGTATGTATGTATATTCATCCTACAGATAAATGTGCGTGTGTTGCAATTTGCGAGCGTCTTTACTCTTTGACCCCCACCACCTACATCCCCTTTGAAGTGCTTAATTGAATTGGTTTGGGCTTGTTGCTGTATTAGTGAATACAGTTAAATACGTATGTATGTGTGTACGTATGTATGTATGTATTTACACGAAGGTGTATGCATGTATTTAAGTGCGCCACGCTCTTTGAGTTGTTTGTTTAATTGTTTAATTTAATTAAATGCTTCAACTGCACTGTTTGCATCGAAAAGCAGAGTATCTGAATCTGAATGTGGGTCTTTGTACATGTACATATCTATATCTAGGTTGTTATATCTGTATTCATATTAGTATCTGTGTTTGTATCTGTGTCTGCATCTGTAGTAATACCTGGGGCTATATCTGTATCTTCATCTGGATCTGTATGTGTATCAATATCTGTGTCTTATAATATACTCATATGTATTTGTATCTGTATCTATATGTCTATATACACATTTATAATTATTTGTATCTATATCTGTATCTGAATTAAAATATGTATAGAGATACATACATATACATATACACTTGCATATCTGTATCTTTAGCTTTATCTGCATCTATCAATGAACATATGTATGTATCTCAGTTTGTATGCTTACCTGTATCTGTGTATCTGAATGTGAATGTGCACCTGTTTGTGTTTGTGCAACAGATGATATTTGCAAGCCTTTCGTTTTATAAATTTCCCCATCTTTCGCTGCTGCTGCGCTGCTTTCTTATGTCATGCTCAGCGCAGTCTTATTAAGGGTACCTAGATACACACACTTAGACTCTCACTCATACATGCATTTATATAATCTCATATATGTCCATTTATAGCTACTGCTAAATCTACAGCCGCAGATGTGCGCTTGAATAGGCCAGCTGCACTTCTCTGTTTGGGATAAACAAACTCATCCGCAATTGTATAGTGAAGTGCAAAAGTTTTGGTATGCGTTGAGCGGCATTACTCGGTCAGTTGATCAATGAAATATCGAAATTCCGATTTCATAAAAGGCACATAATAATTTTTCACTTCCATCTATCTAGAGATCTTTGATTATAGTTAAATGGGATTACCTGTATTATGTTGTTGTTTTTCGATTTGTGACTAAAGCTAAATCACAAATTACGCATACGACCAGGTGGGCATTGCTTGCTTAGAGTCACTGTTATCATGTAATAATTGGGATATTTCCCATTTTTAAACGGCGTTTTCGATTAATATTATTATTTTTTATTTAAAAACTTAATTTCACGGCAATATGTATTTGAACTTTCCTGCTAAGAGCTGAAGTGAAATATTTTGTTTACTTAAAGAATTGACATAAAAATGATTTTTATTTTGTATACAAAGTGAACAGAATTCACTGCTAAAAGCGGCAAACATGGCTCAGCCCTATGAAACATACATATGTATGTACATATGCACATATATAAATTTACACATACATATATCAATACATCTATATATACAGAAGGTCCATATTGACTATTTTCATATCTATTATAAATTGTGTATACGTTGAAATTGAAGTGAAATAAAGTCAAGCGCAATTGCGAACGTGATGAAATAGTAGCTCGTCCAGCGCAGGAGCATTCGCTGTGCAGCGAACGCGAAGAGGGCAAAGGAAAGAGGGACCGCTAGCTGCATACATTTCACAAGCAGTGTAAGCTGCTGTTGCTGCTGCTGCTGCTGCAAATTCGCCCTTTGCCGTCGCAGCGCATGTCAAGAGTAGGTGACCTTGACAGTGAACTTGAAACAAATGCTACAAGGATTGTGCTGTGCTGTCTGTATATATGTATGTACATGCATGCGAACCTATGTAAGTATATTGTGCGCAACGTTGGGAATGAAACGCAGCGAAAAGTGGCGAAGAGCGAATGAGCGAGTGAGCGAGCAAGCGAGCGAAATAGAACACAAGCAACAACAACCTGAATTTGAAAAAAGCTCTTAGCTGCAGATGCAGCTGAGAAGCATGGGGGCGGGCCACCACCGTGCGCTTGTATGTGTGCCTTAAATAGCTATAAAATGATACACGGACTCTCTGAGCGCTGAGTCTCTCAACGAAAAGTTTGTTCTCTCACGATGAATCATCGCTATTGCAACGAGTGAGACCTATTGTCTACAGTCGGCAATTGGAATTCGTGCCAGAAATTTCGCTTTCATGTTTCTCACTTTCGCATATGGCAAACGGGAGGGCGCTTTTTATGCAATGCTGCCAAAGCTAACGGCAAACATATTGTATGTTTTTGTATTGCATTTGCACGCCTATGCATGTGTGTGTGTGTGTGTGTGGAGCTCTGTATATTGGAATAAAAGTAATTTCGATTTCATTCGACCCTTGCCGCACTTGACAAACGGAATTTATCGAGTTTCGTAC